TCATCATGAAACAAATTTAAAAACGTTGAATTTTGGAATATTGTAAAACAAAATGTTATTATTAACAAAATTCCTATTCAATTGTTAATTACCAGAATTCGTTCAAATACTAATAAAAGGTTACCTTATATTCTACGTGTGCAATTTTTCAGTTTGGCTCCATTTCTGCACTGCACGGAAGTGCATCGTTCTTTCATAACCGCGAAACTTGTTTATGCAATGCTTTACTGTTCCTGTTTCTTACATCAGAGTGAGAATTGTTGAAATTTTTTTTGGAACGTTTGATTGCAGTTACATCATCATTTCAATAAACAAGAAAAGTTGAAAGGTTACCTCAAAGCCATACTAACCATAAATTATTAAATTCATTCTGACGTCATTTAAAATTAAAAATACGTGATATCAGTTACAAAAAGTCAAAGTTACCTTAATTTTCCATTGGAGCAACAGTTTTAAAAAATTTGTATTATTGTAATTTGTAAGTAACTAAAAACTGAGTAACTTTTATTAGAAATATTGTTTGTATTAACGAATAACAAATAAATTAATATAAATAAGAACTTTATTTCTTTGTAGCCTTTTGTAAATTCTTTAGACATATTGTCACTATGTCTACGTACGTTTTGTGAAGAAATTCAAACGCTTCATTAGAATAAAATATAATGTGTTCGTATAAAACAACGTTTACTGTAGTTAAAAGTTATCATTGAAAACTCATCAGTTGGAGGAACGTTATCAGTATTAACAGTCTGCATAGATATTAAAATAACTAATAGTGTCAGTTGTCTTGCTTTTTATTAATACTAAAAAGAAATTTGCGTGAAATGAAACGATTAGTCTTACGGGTTGAAATATTGAAATAAGCCTTCATTCTTTTTTTCAATGAAGCTCCCCAAGCTCAGATGAAGATACACACCCCCATATAAATACTCCATCTCAAATGTTTCACTGTAGATTGGAGGGGTTTCAATTCCATTTCAACTCCATTGCTCTCATCCGACAATAGAACTTGATTTTATTGAAAAATTCTGTAGTAAATCCTACCACTTTGCATCTATTAACTTCTCTAATAATAAATTCTCTTCCAACGCAAAATATTCAGTTTTCAGGGTTCTATGGTTTATGATTTAAATTGTTTACCAAAATTTTTTGTAACTAATATTGCAATTGCTCGTTTTTTGTCTTTCTGATTAATGTAGGCTACAAATTAGCTACTTTGACAAATCTCATTACACACATTACAGTTTCTAAGCATTATAGCAATGTTATACAAAAAAAGATCAAATATTAGGTACATTTTATGTGCAACAATCTTCATTTATACGAATTATAGTTAATATTAAACTCAAATCTTAATTCTTGCAAATGCGCCCAAAAGTCACTCAAACTAACAATATAAATAAATAGAATCATAAAATCATTCAAACTGTAACGTGCATGAGGAGTCTGATTCGATATTATAAGCCAGAAATTAATAAAAATGATTACCATAAAGTAACTCAATTTGAAGAAAATACATTTACAAAATGAGTGAATAAAAAAAGCAAAAACTTCCTGCAGACGCTGATACAAAAGAAATATCTTTCCTCAGTGAGTATTTCAATTTAACCTAAAATTACCAGCGTAAGTAAGATCAAAACGGCGCTGCCGTTCGTTCGAGCTGAACCAATGGAGGAAAGAAATCGTGTAAAATTTTGTAATCACCGAGTCTACGATCGGTCCACGTACAACTCGAAGACCGATGAACGCGTATTCCGAAACGAGATCGAGAGTTAAATTTACTCGAGTTATTTCCATTGGTCGATCGAGGATACCACGAATCGTCGCAATATCGGTCGTGGGGAAAAGAACTGAAAGGGAGGAGCAGGGTAGGGCTCGGCGATCGATAACAATAATAATGGGAAATGATCGCGACCGCAGTGGCACGTGATCCAATGACTATGCCCAGGAGGCGATGCCTCATTATTTCGATTTCCAAGCAACTAACCAGCGACCTTAGCAGCCTCACGAAATACGAACGCCTCATCCCCTTCCACTCTACCTTCTTCTCGTCATCATCTTCATTCTTCGTGCGAACCCAATCATTCTTCCCAGTCGATCTACACAGCCTGTTGCATTCGACCTCGAACAATCTTACAGTTCAATAATCAAGTGTTATAATTGTAACTTTCAGAACATTTCCAGGACTCGATTTACCAGCTATTCGAGTGTCTACTACGCATTGCATAAACCCCTTTTATTTATTAATCCGAATTTCTGGCTGAAAATTATGACCAATATTCTTTAACCCCTTGCACTATGATTTATCTGTTTACGTAAAACTACGTAAGTGACTGTTATTATAATTGATGTAAATTATAATTGGACTTGAACTATACATTGAAGCGTATTAAAAATTGATGTAAAAATTACAGTAAGTGCGTGTGCGTCATGAGTGAGATTCGACACAATAGTTGTTAAGTAAAATGACAATTTTGACAATATAATATTTCAAGGTTCAATAAAATTGAAAATAACTCCAATATTTTGCATAATTACAAACTAATGTATGTTGCAGCCAAATATTTCTTGATACTGTAGCGATTTGTAAATGTGAAAATGAGACTTTTTAAGGCAGAAATTTAGAGATATGGGGATTTGGAAATATGGTGATACACAAGTTGTAATTAAAAATGTTTAATTTAATATTTGCTTAGAAATTTAAATATTTAGATGTTGAAGAATTCCCGAATTTAAAAATTTGCTAATTAGTTAATTTAGAAATTTCAGAATTTAGGAAGTGAGGTCACTTGATAATTTGGAATGTAGAAAATTTACTGCTATGAAGATTTGGAGATGTGGTATATGGAACTTGGAGATTTGTAAGTTTCCAATAGTTCAAATTAGTAACATGTGTATTCGACGATATGGAAGAGTAGAAATATGAGTATTTGAGAATATAAGGAATAAGAAATTGTAAAATTAGAAATCAGAAATGTAGGGACTTACTAATTTGAAATATCAGGAGTACCACCCAGAAATATAGGTACAAATAGGTACAATATAGGTGCAAATTGGAAATTGCGAATATTTCAAGTCAGAAATTTAATAATGACATTCAATGACGTGAAGATGGGTAATCCTAATAGTTTGAGAAAGTGAGGCATTGGAAATTAAAATTAGAGGATTGCAATTTAAGGATTTGAGAATTTAGAAAATTGTTTAAAATGTCAACTACTCTGCACTTTTCCCGAAAATGGAGTAAGAGCGTAACTTGAAGTTAAATACTTTGAAACTTTATTTCATGTACAATGGAGCAAGAGTAGAATTACTAACAAATCTGCTATAAAATGCTTTTTAATGCATTATACGAATGCTCTACACTGCAAATAAGTACTCTTAGCTGAAATATAAAGGGGATATAGTGAAACAAAACAAGGAAACAAACATACTAAATGGAGAAATTTCGCTAATATTGTAATAAATATAGCCTGTATACGCACTTACCCCGTTTACGAACTTACCCCACTTCACCTTAAAAATAGCCTGTATACGCACTTGCCCCGGTTACGAACTTACCCCATTTCACCTTATATAAAAAGAATTTAGCTTCTTAAATATTCAGTTGATTTGTTTAAAATTCTATAAATATCTCGATTGTTAAAAAAACTGTCTTATCGTGTTTGATGTATGACAATATCAAACTTCATAATTTATCGTATTCACTGCCATGAATTATATTAGAAATTTGATTTGGCATCCTATTGATAAAATTCATTACTATATTTTTTCCTATATTGTTCCACGTGTTAGAAAATATTGAAAGGTATCTTTTGACACATCTTGGTAGAAATAGTGTTAATGTGCAGGTTTTTGAACCGATTCTGCCTGAAAATTAAATTTTTAATGTGATGTTTAATAGGGTTTTAAATAATTTTCGAATATGTCGGTATATTATTATCCAATATATGGAAAACAAATGTTATGGAGCTTTCTCCAGGAAACATATCCAATAGCCGTCGCCATTGAAGTTGCGTTTCGAAAAATATTTCACATATTTTTGTATATTGGGTTAAGCGGAGCTATTTGACCCATCTAGATTAAATTTACTTTTCTCGCTAAACTTACAAAAAAATTGTAACGAAACGTTCATTTTTAATAAAATAAATAACATTTTCCCAATCTGTACTCGTGTTTACTTTAGCAAATGAAGTTTCATTTTATTTTATTATATTTTCGTTTTTCACTTGTGTCGACATCATTTTCACCCTAAAAATATGCGGAGATGCTACAATAATTCTGTGAATGGTTTTTGTAACATTTAATTTGCAATCATCTCGCAGTTGAACCAATGACATTGTCATGTTTAAAAGTCATTCATAGAATTTTACGTTTATGTCCTGGAAACACTTTGGGAGGGCGGCTGAACGGCTCTACTCACCATGATTACGTCTTTTACTAAATAGCACTTTTTGAACCTATTTGTTTCGCAATAACCTTTGCTTCAATGCGAAAAGTAATCGTCGCTGTTTTTCTCTCTGAAAGTTTTTTTCACAAGGCATTTGACTTTTTAATCTTCATAAGCAAATCTTAAATCAATAAATAAATGTACATATGTATAATTGTTTAGATCTTGAATGAGATATAAATGCACAGTAAAACAAATTAAGGTAACATAATAAATTTATTTATGAAACAAGGTTGATACATTTATAAAACGATTGAAAATCAGGTTTCGTGTAACTCAGTTTAATATTAAAGTTTACACGTTAATTTTCTTTCACACAATTTGTATTGTACATTATGAATTAAGAATTAATGCATTGTGAATTAAGAAACACTATATAATTTTCTACCACAAACTCAGGTAATTGAAAATAGGAGGTTGGTGTATTCATGTAACGCATTGTATTTTCCTAAAATCAAATGCGTGACATATAAACACATAGGTTTATTAGGATAAAGTGGAAAGAAGATATAACTGTTTTTGAATTAAAAGATAAGTTTATTAATATCGAGTGAGTCGTATAATTTTCATCGTTACTATCTCTTCTCAGCATCATGATAATTTGAGCATTCCATTTTTGTAGAATGGGGTGGCGAAAAACTGAAACAATGATATAACAATAATATTAGCAAATATTATGATTTTTGACTTTTTTATAAATCTAATAATAAATCTAATAGTAAACTAATAATAATTAGAGGAATTTTCCGGTACTCTAAGTCAAACAAATTTCTCGCTGGACCTAACATAATAAGTCAGAAGAACATTCCGGTATAGTAAATCTGAATATACTAAATCTGGCAATACACTAAACCTAAATATGTAAGAATAAACATAAAAAATTATGAAAGGAATGTGGTAAGGTATGAACGTTCTAAGCGAGCGTTTGGAAAGTATGATCGTTAAAAAAAGCGCATGAAAGACCGAATGATAAGTTGCATTAAATGTTCATAGAGTGAAGATATTATATGAAAGGAAATTATTTCATACAACAGAATCGTGTTACTGTTTTTTTTTTTGTTAGCTATCTAACGTTTGCAAACGTAAAAGAATATGCAAACGTAAAACTGTTGAAATGTCTTAGAAAGTAACTTCTAATTTACGCTCGACCTTCTTTTAGCCAAGATGAAAATTACACCCAGATTTAACGATACGAAGCATAATTATACCGAAGCTGCAAGCCGGCATGGTTAAGCGCAATTATAACAACGTGCACATCCCGAGAGTGGCGTCCTTCCACGAAGACACCGGAATATTGACCCCAGCTGGGAGTCTGCACCTGCAGGGGCTATATGCAATCTTTGTGCATAACGACTCTACCGAGAGGAATACATTCTTGTGGAGTATTGCATTTCTATGTTGGATATATTAGAATAGAAAGATGGGAGCTTCGATATCTCGTCATTGCGCGTAGGAAATAAGACATCAGGGTCGAGAAGTTCCATAGGGGCAGATAAAAACGATAACTCGGAAATGGAAGGCTGTAAGTGAACGTTACCATACAATGTTACCATACAGATGAAGAGGTTCGAAGGTTACGAGATAATTATTGGATAATAACCCGAGAACTGATTTCTTGAGAACACCGATCCTCCACGGAATATTCTACATACATAATATTCTACAAGGGGTATTCGAAGAATTCCGAGGGGTCGAAAATTGAGTTAAAACTTTCCTTTGAACACAGTGTTTAGCGGAGGAATAAAAATGATACGACAGCGGCCTAATCATTTCTCGCGATTCATCGAAAGCTTCGTAGCCAATATATTTTTTGCTCTTCCCTATGAAAGACCTGAAAAGCCTTCGGGTCACAGGTTAAACGGGCCTTCCCGTGACAAGGCCCTCAGGACGCGTTCTTCAACAGGATGCGGAGGACGAGGTATACACAACCGAAGCCTTCGGTTCCTGTGATAAAGTGCTCATAATGTTTTTAACGAGTAAGCTGCGCGTAATTTTATAATTCGGCCGTGGCTCCGGCCCCATGGTATTTCGAGAGTGGATATAATGATTCGATGATTATGCGGCCATATCTCACCCACGGCTTCGTCCCAAGGAAGATACAGCCGGTGAAGAGATCCCCGTCCCGTCCGTCCGGATGGAAACAATGTCGGTGGACCCTCCCACGCCACGTACAGGGACTGTACCACGGCGAGCCAGAGTAATTCCCCCAATTATAAAATTATTATCCTGCGGTTGGCACCCCCGGGCAACACGCGGAACCAGACTGGCCTCTCTACTTCTCCTCTCGGCCTCGTTCGCCATGTTCTCCGCGTACTCGCTCCTCTTTATTCTTCCTTCCCCTCCCCTCTTCGCTCTGCCCTCTTCCATCCGGCTCTCGTCGATCCCCGTTGATTCGCGGATGAGATGCTGCGCACGTTTGCCGCGAAAGATCTCCGGCTCTTTCCGAACGATCGGGATTATTTTAAATTGATTAAACTCTCGTACGTATTTGGTCCTGCTTTATAATGTTTTGTATTTAACTTTTTCAACTGGCGGAATTCTGTCGACGACAATTTAGTAATAATCCTTACCGGTTATCATTTCAACATGTTTATATGGTTATTCCGTTGGAACGAGCTGAAGTTCTTTAGCCAGAATATCGATACCTAATTGGTTCCTGACTACGGTCGATGCATGTGGGAAACGTTGCTGGTTTTTGAGTTTGAATTTAATTGCTTCGGGGGAGAGATAAGGGTATGTTACAAATTAGGATTTTGTGAATATTAACCGTTCACGAACGATATGTTGTTAGCAACGCTATGTAACATTCATTTATTCTTTCTCTGTTTTGTAACAGGGTCTGTTTTCAATTTTTTAGATGTTAGTCGTGTTATTTTCTTTGGAATTTTGTCCCCGAGCCTTACGGAATCAGTCTCTGTTGGATTCGGATTTATCAAGGTTCGGACATTTGAAAATTTGTAAATTAGGAAACTTGACATTTATAAAATTTGAGAATTTAGAGATTTGAAGGTTTTGATGTTCAGAAATTTTAGTATTTTGAAATTTTTTAATTTTGGAATTTTAGAATTTGGAAATTTGGGAATTTGGGAATTTGGGAATTTGAAAATTTAAGAATTCAAAAGTTTAAAAAGTCAGGAATTCAGAAATTTAGCAATTTGAAAGCTTAAGAATTAAAAGGAATGTCATTGTCATAATTTGAAAATTTAAGAACGTAGAAATTTAAGAATCCAAAATTTTAGAAATTTCATAGCACAGAAGACATTATTATTCCTTTTTCTTAAATTTTAACGACCTCGAGATATAATAATAATACAAATCAGAGTTGTATAAATTAAATTACCATTCTTCAGAAATGTTAAATTTAATCTATAATACCTCATTTTTAGCTTATTACCGAAATTACCTTTGTACATTGAAAAATTTCTGAAAATGTTTTAAAATAATGACATGATAAATAGCATTTATTAGAGAGTACAGTTCTAAAGGCTCATCCCATAAATATTCGAACAGACAATAACGAAGAAAGAATAATAAGACGATTTCAAATTCACAAATCATTAAAGAATTCGTTCCATAATGTAAGGTCCATGCCATTACATACTTTTGCTTCTTCTTATTCCTCTGATTTACATTAATTTGTAGTCTTTGCAACGTTATTAATCCTTTAAATATTTCCTTGCGTCAGATGTACCAGGTTCATATTTCCAAATACATTTTATATAAATACATCTTTTCCTAATTTGAATTACAATTTATTGACATTTTCAATTTCAACATTTTAGCACTAAAATTACAAAACTCTTTAAATGAACTATTCACGAGTCTTATTCTAAATTACAGAATTTGTTAAAACAACTATGCTAATTTTTATCCAGATGTGTTATTTTATCCAAAGAACTGATGTAAATATTTAGTCACGTTTTGTCATCTATTTATTTATTATTCTACTTTATTTTTAATTTCAAATTATGTATGTATTAAGGTGGTTCGAAACATATTTTAATTAACTTTATTTTTTGATTTCTTAATTATGTAAATATGGTTAAATGATTGACTTTGCTGTGAAACTTCTATTCTAACATCTAATTTTGTACAATTTAAATTTTAAACTTTAAAAAAACTTTTGAATGCAAACATGTATCACCTATTTAGAATACTAATTTTCCACAGGGTGAGAAAGAAATTTTTGTATCCACGCTAGTATGCATTATACGTGCAGAAATCTTCGAATAAATAGGTTAATCGAAAGGTCAAATACATAATGCATAAAAAGCAAATCATGTCCCGTTGTAAACGATCTTTCAGTTTTGATCTAACGGTAACATCATAGCTAAAGTGCCATTTATAGAGGAATTTATACCAGCCGTTAGGGCAAGAAGATCGAGTGTGTAAGGGTGAAAAATAAATAAATATAACCGTAGCAACCCTTGCACAGAGCGATCCTTTCTTAAGTTGAGCTCGTTCATAATCTTGCCAGTAGCTGCTAGTGACTTTAACCGAGCAATGTCTCTGTGTTCCATCGTCTGTAACAGCGTGTGGATACGTGCGTGAAATTTCGATGGCACAGACAGAACACTCGAAGCAGCCTTTCTATTAGAGAATGACAACCGCAGGCAACTAAATACGTTCTTGAAACGACAATTAATATCGAGGGAATTTATAACAAACACTTTTAAACCTTTTATGACTAGTTATATTCACTACGAGCGATCATTGTGTGGTCAAATTATACAGTCCCTGGTCATCGAATTATTTTTAGCATTTTTCACGTTTTCTGTAAAATTAAAACACTTTAACAGATGTATTTTAAATGTATTTTAAATAGTTTGAACACATGGCACGCTGCAAATCTTTTTTTAATACACTTGCTTGCTAATCCACAGCAAGTGTTTGTCAGTCAAAAACTCATCCAAGCTTCAAGTTATACTTCCAATCTCAAACCTCGTTCAATTAAAAACAAACTCAGTTCAAATACGATTTAGTTTTGACACATTTGAACTGCAACATACATCTGACTCGATGTTGTAGATTAATAGATATATGGTATAAACAGATTTCTGGTATAAGTACCGACTAGCAAGGTTAGTAATAGCAGTTATAATGTAGATGCTTAGAGTAAGGAAATTTCGGAGGAAAAGCAAGAGTGTACGAAGAGAAACTACAGTGGCCCCCGTGGGTGGGGTGCTCCCGCGAGTTAAAAGGACAAGAATGTTTGACAGCCATTTTTCAGTGATCACACCGAGTTAGTTATCGACCGTTGGGATCTCTCACCCCTGCTGCCCCCTTGACACCCTGTGCAGCGATCCAATCTCAACAAGCAAGTCTTCGTTTTCTATTTCTCTTCGTTCCCAATAAAGAGAGGGTTATCTCTCATCTTCTCCTTCTCGCATCCGCCACGCATTCGGTCTCTCATTTCAGTATCGTGGATCTTGCGTTGTGTCTCTTTTCCGTACGGTCCGGGCCACCACCTCGGTGCTATCGGTGGTCACCAGGTCTGACGAGCGAAACAGCTCGAAAGGAATCTCCTCTCTTCTCTAATGCAAGCCATTGTGTGTCTAGTTAACGGCGATCCGCCCAGCGCAACGTGATTCATTTTTTACTTCCACGAACAGTTTTTTTGATCGATCGGAAATTAGAGAGTTTAAATACCACCCCGGGGCATGACACGTCCGAATGGAGATCGTAATCGACATCCATCGGCGTCGAGCACGGTACGCCGAATTTCCATTGTATCGCTAACGTCGATAGGTATAACATAAATTCACTTCTCGTCCGGCATCTTGTTGCGTTTTCGACTTTGCCGGACGGTTCCTTCCCTGCCAATTGACGAGCGTGAAGCCCTCGCTGCTTTCGTGAATGATGTTCGCCGTGGACCCTCGATTACCCATAAATCTGCGCTAAAGGTTTGAGGCCAGCGACTAAAATGATGGACCGTTCTTTCTTCTTTTCCTTCCTTCAGGTGATGCTCGGACGTCGGGATCGCCTTCAGCGAATGGAAAGCAAAGTGCCTCCACGGATCACGCACTTTTACGGGTTCTTTCGTTCTTCGTAATTACTGGTATTATTTAAATGCCACACCTTTTCACGAAAGCCAGTGTTATTCAGTGTAATGTCGAATCTATTCGTTGCTGTAATAGGTAATATCGTTTATGTGATAGGGCATCGAATGCTGAGAACGAACCGAGTTTAGAGTCCGAGTTAACTACGAAAATTCATTGTTTGTGTTATTTACTTACGATCACAACGTACGTTTCGACTACAAAATTGTTGTTATTTTCTAAAATAAGGTGAAGTTAATTACAATATGAGCGAAATTTCTCCATTTAATATGTTTGTTTCCTTGTTTTGATTCACTATATCTCCTTTTATGCTAAGAGTATTTGTTCGCAGTACAGACTACTTGCATAATGCAGTAAAAAGCACTTTATAGTAGATTTGTTGATAATTCTGCTCTTGCCCCATTGCACATGAAATAAAGTTTCAAAGTAACATCATGTTACGCTCTTACCCCATTTTCGGGGAAAGTGCAAAGTAGTTGACATTTTACACAATTTCCTATCAAAATCAAAATGTACAAGGAAAGTTAAGGTCCTAGTTAATATTAATTAAATAGTACTAATTGTGCAAAGCGTTCGATATCGACAGCGTTAAGTATTTACATAGCAGACTGAAAATACTTACGTTTAAATACCAACTTTACAAAAACCGGTCTGCACTTACCCCAATTCACCTTATCTAAAGTCTTCATATTACAAATTTTGATATCAGCATGTTACCAAATTCGCAAATCCCTAAATTGCAATTCTCTAATTTCAATTTCCAATGCCTCACTTTCTCAAATTATTAGGTTTACTCATCTTCACGTCGTTGAATGTCATTATTTAATTTCTGACTTGAAATATTCGCAATTTCCAATTTGCACCTGTATTGTACCTATTTGTACCTATATTTCTGGGTGGTCTCTTGATATTTCAAATTAGTAAGTCCCCACATTTCCGATTTCTAATTTGACAATTTCTTATTCCTTATATTCTCAAATACTCATATTTCTACACTTCCATGTCGTCGAATACACATGTTACTAATTTGAACTGTTAGAAATCTACAAATCTCCAAGTTCCATATACCTACATCTCCAAATCTTCATAGCAGTAAATTTTCTATATTCCAAATTATCAAGTGACCTCACTTCTTAAATTCTGAAATTTCTAAATTAACAAATTAGCAAACTTCTAAGTTCGGGAATTCTTCAACTTCTAAATATTTAAATTTCCAAGCAGTAAATTAAACATTTTTAATTACAACTTGTGTATCACCATATTTCCAAATCCCCATATCTCTAAATTTCTGCCTTCAAAGTCTCAAAT